CTTTATGCTGGGTTCTAATGAGAAATTTTTACTTGGACAGTCTCTTTGACAAAAACAAGGATAACCTCTAAAAGGTGAGAGTACTTTAAATATATGAAGAATACACACTACCTACCTATCAATGATTGCAACTAGTAATTTTCTGCCATTAAACTATAGCCAGTAGTCTCTTTTCTATAAAAGTTGCAGGTTACTGTCAACCCATATGTAGGCCCAGCTCACGAAAAAAGGCCATACCTTAGCTCACATCCTGAAGTCTGTGTGAAAAGCTATTTGAGTTCAAGGCACCTAGCTGGAAGTAGGTCTCTGAGACTGACAATGGATCCAACATGGTAAAAGCAATCAGCGACGGCCGCTACCATGGTATCCGCTGCTTTGTGCATACGTTGAATCTGGTTGTGATCACTGCCCTGAAGAAATACGAGGAAGCAACTGAAGTTTCTACTATTGCACAGAATTATCTGCAAACATTTCCACTATGCTGTGAATTCCAACTAAATAGCTAATAAATTAAGCGAATTTTGGCTCTGTGACATATGCTCTGAAGTAGGATGTGAGCAAAATGGGCAAATCTTTCTTTTGAAAATAGAACAAAACAAAAAAACAAACAAACCCACACCTCAACATTCAGTTATACTGAACTGCCTCTACTAATACTGGCCCCCAAATTAAGTTGGATCTTAGTAAGACTAAACGTACCACATCAGAATTATGTTCTTTTATAATCCATAAACTGAAAACAGCTTAATAGAGAGCTATTTTCTCAACGGGACATTATGAAAGATCTCTTTAATCCCCTGCACTCCTAATTCTACAGCCAAAAGTACCACACGGTTGAAATAAACGTGTAAAAAGCAGAGCCACTCTGAAGAAGTTATCTGGAGACTACATGCTGAAGTATCCACATTCAGGACTATTAAGAATAAACACCTCAGAAGAAGATTCTAAAACTATAAGAGAACGAAACTTTTACATTTACCTACAAAACAATTATTACATCGTGCTCCTCAGTTCTAAAGCTCTTTGCCAGGGAATTATAGTTTAAAACAAATTAAGATTAAAGGTAAACTGAAAGTTTTTTAAAAAAAAATTATTACTGTGGAGAAATGTTTCCTTCTAATGTCTCCAGAAAGCACAAAAATAATTCTTGGAATGAACCAGTAAATGGGGCAACGATCTCCATATGATGAATGTTTTCCATGATTAATTTAAAGCTTAGTTTTTAACTTCATGACTCTCCCTTTTGTTTTTATTTA